AATGTATAACCAACTTTGAAGCTATAGTATTTTTCTGCTGTAAGTTGATAATGTCAGAGCTATGCTGCAATTTTAGAACATACAGGTCTTAACTCCGATATTGATTTGATTCTCGTTCCATGAGTCATTTTGTTGTTGTCTTCATCCTTTTCCTTTGAGAATAATATTCTCTCTCCTTATGTGATCGGTTACGCCTGTCTGTTAATAAGCGTCGTTAATATGCTCTTCCAAAGTAGCGGTTTAGTTTAGCTTTCGGCGATAATACCTTTTTTCTATTTTTGACATGAAGATATTGGTAAAAGCCTCAGCCGCTGTATCTCGCTTCATTCCTCAAAATTAGTGCGGATCAGTCTTTTGACTACGAGTAGAGTTGCTTAGACTAAGATTAACACAAGTCAAACAAGTCTGTTTATTATAGTGACACGTTTCAACAAAAGGAAGTCAATTGTAAATCAAACAATGAAAAAATTACAATGAGATTCTGGCAAGTATTACACTCCCTGCTGCAGGATGTGCAAAGTTGTGCTTCCTTAGTGAAATGTCAAGACGAAAATGGCGTCATTACGGTTATTCGAGATTCTAAATTTCTCCTTGGGTGTCAACCTTTAAACTCCCTGCAGTGATTAAAATGTTACTTCCAGGAAACCACATCGCCATCTGTTGTATCAAGAGGGGATTCCCCCGTTGGATGTCGTTTGAATAATTGTCTATTGCTTTAAATGTCACGCTATTCTTGGCTTTGTCTTGAGTTTTCCTTTGCAACTATGTGGATGTCTTTTATAAGCCCGCTTTAGATGTTCTATTTTGGTAGACCGAGATCGTCAGGATCAGAATTACATTTGAAGAATTCATTAAAAAATCATAGGAGTCTGTCACCATTTTCCTTTCCCTAAAACGTTATTTTATTTCGCCTGGTCAAGGAAAATGTACCGAGCGTGAGGAATATCATTCACTTTGCCTGATCAAGCAAACCAAATCAAACACGAACAATTAACGAGGCAAACAACTGAGGGGCTCAGCTTCCAGCCGCCATGAAAGTCGCACCAGCAACATCAGAGCTCATGTGAAGCTTGTTCGTGATCTGTTCCAGGCAAGTGCTCCAAAAATATAAATGGCCGGTAGAAAATTAATTATAACGCCTCCTTGCTTCTGTCGCTGATACTGGGTCATATTATCGTTTCGAAAGTCGTCTATGGAGGGTTTGACGCAATTTTGTGATGACGCCGAGGTTGTTTCTAATTGCACTCTTCGAGTTGTTTTGGTTGCATCAAATTCGATCGAGGGGAACCACGGGGATTTGAATTGATTTCTTCCGTTGTAAACGATGTTATTGACTTACAAGGTAGACTTGGGTACATGAAGGAAGGGAAAAGAACTAAAGACTTTTTTTCCCTCGGTTCATTTTGGACGCGTAAATCGAGTGCAGAGCGAACTGAAAATTTTACA